CTAGGCAAGTGTTGTAACACCAAGTCACATCTACAACTACCCCTCAATTCTGGCATTGCAATATTAAACCAGTAGCAAACTAGGTGCTCAGCAAATATTTGTCAAACTTATGAATTCAGAATTAGATGTTATGTGCTGTTGTTAGTGAAAATACTCCATACCACTGCAGTTGGTTTTACATTCTAAAATAAAATCCCAAAGACATAAGTTTTAAATTTGAGATGCTTTCATGGTCGAATTTTGATAGTGCATTCACTTAGGAAATATCAGTAACTACTTATTTTCAACTTTGGTTTGGGGACTGTGGTAGACACTGAGAATACAAATATGCAAGCAAATTTCTTAGTGATTTACAATGTGGCTTCACATAAGGCTATATTAATATGTGAAATAATGTAGTAAAGTATATGATATATAAAATCATATGCTATCCTATGTAGCATAGAATGAATATCATCTCAGAAAATTATTTAAAGCGTAACCATTTTAAAGTACGAAGTAGTTGGGAGAAGATCTGCAAAAACATGAAATTTGCAATGGAAGCTATGGTTTGAAGATCAATACTGGAAAGGAAATTTCAAGATAAAAGATTGATCAAAAAGAATGAACACAGTTCATGAATAGAATAATTTAGGAACTGAGTCACCTAGAACAAAGATTTTATACTGTGTATGAATTAAAATTTTATCATACCTGTTAAACGTCTGTTCATCCAGTTTGATCTTTTTTCATGGTTTTATAATCTCTATATTTATATCTTAGAATGTTACTCGCCTACTCTTTAAAACTATGAATAGAATATCTAAATGTCATTATTTATATAATGAGATGTCACAGTACTTAGAGACTACATTAGTCAGTTCCATGTGAATATAACAAAACTCCTTAATATAAATTTATGGAATAGTTTTATTATATCTCACAGTTTGGGGACAATGGTGAGGCAGGACATCATGACAAGGAGCATGGGAAGGAATAAAGTTGCTCATCTCATGGGAGGAATGCAAAAAAGAAAGAATGAGTGGCTAGGATGCGACTCTGTAATTCAATTACCTAAGATATTCCATAGGGTCCCACCAGTCAATACTTCTCTACACATCTCTTCCATTGTGTGTAGCTGGAGTATAAGCCTATAACAAATAGGTCTTGTGTGGCCTTTAAGTTCTAAGCTATAACAGTAACTTTCCTTTATTTTCTCTTACCAGTTATAACAAGAAAACAATTGACAAAAGCAAATTGTTTTCCTCAATAAGCTATGATAATATATTTTGATTAGGTATTGGAATAACTCATATTATGTCAGTAAATTTTCTCTTATTCACAGAAATATTCAAGGTTTTCTGACTTCAAATGGCTCTGTTGATAATTCTCTTAATGATGTGTATAAAATGATTAAAGGCATACATTTTTCTAGAAAGCAGAGTTCGTAACCTTATATCTCTTGTCCTAGGAAGAAATCTGCACTTGACTTCAGCATTCACAAAGAGATGTATTAAATATTCTTCACTCATTAGCAATGTATTATGCTCAGACAGTACAACAATTACTTTATATTCGTTTGGACTACTGTTTCTCTTACTCCGTATTAATCGTGAAAATTTCACTTAGTATATATGAATCTTTTATTTTAAATGCAGTGAATAAAAGACAAAACAGGTCACACAAGTCACATAAGTCCACAACCATGTCTATTAAGCAAAAGTTATACTTGTTGTTTGTTAAAATTTTAAGAAAATGACTTACACGAAGAGGAAACTTGTAATTAAAGGCACAGTTGCTCACAGATTCATCTTTTCCATATGGAATAATCTTAGAGGTAGATAAGAGCAAAGTTCAGTGTAGAATTTTAGTAAATTATTTTTAAATTTCTGTTTGTGTGTTTATGATGTACATATTTGGCCACACACATGCTTGGGCATGGATATATGACAATAGCTTTGTGCAGCTAGTTCGCTCCTTTCACACTTAAGAGAATTCAGGGTTATCAAGCTTATGTTGCAAATGTTTTTTACCAACTGAACAACTACACAAACCCCAGAGCAAAATTATAAAGAAAAACACACAAATTGATATTTATTGTCATGTTACTTCTTTAAATTTCATTATTCCTAATTTATGGTAAACATTAAGACAAAATGCAGAAGATGTGGAGAAGAGAGGAATATATTATTTTTAAATTACAAATAAAATGTAGTTAAATCAACTGAAATTTCAGTGAACCATGAAAGAAATTTTTTTTTCAAACGTCAGAAGAGCAAACCAATATTTAAATTTTCTTGTATCCATATGTCTAAGGTAAATTCAACAGCATTGTTTTGTGAAACCACATTTTTTTATAAGGTAAAACATCAGTTTTATAGAAAAATCTTTATATTTTGATGATAATATAAACATCTATTTTTATTTACAAATAGTGTTAAAGATTATACAGGGAAGAGAAAGGAAGAGAATGCTGAAAAATCCTTTAAAAGTTAAATTTTCTGTAAGAGCAAAATAACAACATGCTATATATCATATTATTAATTTAAGAAGTGCCCATGGGAATATATAATTTTAGTGATCTGGGGTTATCTTGTAGAATAAATATTGGAAGAATTTAAAAGGGGCTGGTCACATGACATGGAGAAAGTCAACTGGTATTGACCCAGAAACTTCCTCCTGGCTAACTCTCAGCCTATTGGAAGGTGCTATGCAACCTCCTGGTGGGGGTAGTTCTCAACAGTCTTAACCACCTGTGAATCCTGTGAACAATAAGTGTCAGCATGGCAAGGTATGGGTGCAATACATGAATGTTATGGGGGTAAATAATTACTTTCCGATTGAATTTAAGGCCTCTTCACAGGATAAAACACATGCCTGGTAGGGAAACCTGATTTTTAAAAAAAAAATACTTTGTGATCACATGTTTGATGCCACGTACAGTATCACTCCTATTAAAGAGCACCTTAGTTGACAGCAATTATTATGATGTGTCAAGTCAAAGAACAGTATGTTTAATAGAAATTAATCCCATCCTATATGGGAACTACTGAGCAAAAATAATATTTCATAGTTCATAATAGGTAATAGTACCTTAAAGTCCATCAGGTATTTGTTGGTGTTTTTCAAATTTGTCATAATAATACTTTTCTATTATTATAATGTGTAAATGATATCAATTTTTTATCAGGTATTTGTTGGTGTTTTTCAAATTTGTCATAATAATACTTTATTATTATAATGTGTAAATGATATCAATTTTTTATATTATACGTAACAGAATTTGACAAGAGTACATTTAAAGAATAATTAATATTAAGATTATGTACATAAGACAGAATTTAGTAACTCTATGTTGATATGTTTATTTCTTCAAGAAGAAGCAATGAATAACTACTGATGACATAGTTAATTTCAGAATATCATTTTGCATGACTTTAATGAGTTACATTATTTCCCTTAATTTCAATAAAAGAAAATAGAGTGATAAATATATAATCAGTTTAGGATGACTATAAACAGTAAATCAAAATAATTTCACTGTTCTTTTATTCTCCATTAACTCCCTCCTACAACTTCCAACAGAACATTAAGTAAATGATTTTTAGATTTTGAAAATTTCATGCATGTATATAGTGTATCTTGGAAATATCTGTCCCCCACTCCCTCTTTCCAGCTCCTCCCTGCTGAGCATATCTCTCATATTCCTTTCAATCTCAATGTTTTTTAAATTCACTAGTGCTGCTTATATGGTTATGTGAAGTCTCTTCCACTGAGGCATCAGTAACCTATCAATGGCCTCCCTGAAAATAAAAGTGACTCTCCATCCCCCAGCAGACATAAACTGCCATTAGCCCTTCACTTAGGAGTGAGGCATCAGGAGCCCTTCTTCTTCCATGCTGAAAATTTCAATTCTCTTTATGTTGCAGAGATCTTGTGAAGGTAACCACAGCTGTTGTGAGCTCATTCATGCAACAACCATGCCTTGTCACAAATTTTTGATAACAATGTCCAAACCATGCACTTGTAAAAGGACAGCCTATTTAACAAATAGTGTGAGCTAATCTTCCAAGTTTATTTCTGCTCTATTTAGAAAAATAATGAAATTAAACCAACCCAGATGTCTATCAACAGAAGAGTCAATAATGAAATATATATAAAATGTAACCAGAAGACCCAGGGAAATGGAAAATGCAGTCATAAAATTTTAAGGGTAATTGATGGATCTGGAAAGTATTATAGTAAGTGAGGTAACCTAGCCTAAGAAAGATAAACATTTCATATTCTCTTTCCTATGCTGACCCTAGTGTGTAGCATATATATGTATATGTACGGTTTATGCTATGAAACTAGTAAGAAGACTGTGAGAGTGTAAGAATGTTGTGGAAAGGGGAGCAATAGGAATACGTGATATGAAAGTAGAAAGGAGGTTATGGGTGGGAAAGAATAAGATGGAGATAGGGGGATGGGGGATATTGGTCGTGGGAATCAAAAAAAAATTGGCTGAAAATACCATAATAAAACCCAATATTGTGTGTGCTAAAAAACATTTAAAAGAGAAAAACTAAAGGAAAAAGTAAAAATCATACAAGGGATTTTGCATGAATTAAAAGTAGATTATGTTTTAAGAGTGAAAATCAGATTCTATATAGATAATGTTAAGTGCTACCAAGGTCAAGAATCAAACAATTATTTTAAAGTATAATGACAAAATTGATTGTATCTGTGTAATTTAAACTTGCAGTCATTTGCAGTCTTTTGACATAGCCATCATTGTGATAAGGTTCTCAATTTCATATCTTTACTATAAAGATGTGTTTGGCAGCCTCTCATTAAGTCTATAAACTCTGAAATGTCCTCCTAATACACAAACAAAAAGTATGAGACTATTTAAACTAAGAGAGTTAGCATTCAACGTAAAGAATAACTGATTGCCTCAAATAGTAACCTCCTTTCTCAATATCTAAAAGTATCTATGAATATATCACTACACAGTCATACCACTTAAGAATTTTTTTTAATTGGCCCAGAATCAAGTCTAGCATTTTTCTGAAGCTGTTGGTTTTAAGCAGGAGCCTAAATAAATATCTTTCTATGGTCTGTTGGACATTTCAGAAATTTGGAAATGTCATGATCCATTCTTTAGAAAGTAATGTCTGTTCGAAAAAAAGGAGTTTTGAAAGTCTACAGAGACTATGAAAGAAAACTAGCACGTCCAGTTGCTAAAATAAATAAAACCAACTTCCAATTTTATAAGAGATAGGAAAGTTCAATATTTAACACTGGAAAACTATTTTATATATAAGTATATATATATATATATATATGTGTGTGTGTGTGCTAAATAGCTTTTCAAAAACAATTGAACATTGAAATTTAGCATTTTGAAATAATCTTAATGCAGAAATATAAGCATAATTCAATGTTAAATTTTTTCAAAGTGGCAGCAAATTATGATCATTTTTGAAAACCAAACAGGAAAAATATGTAGATAGCACCTAATATGTGAAAAAGACCAGTTTAAGTATTTCACATGCACTGACTCACTTAATTCATCCAATAACTCTGTGATATTAGTATTGCCACCAGAGCCATTTATCAGCTGATTAAAATGGTGCAGAAATATGGCTTAAAATTCAAACTGGCATGCTAGTCCCTCTTTACATTTTCTTGGAAAGTATAAATAAAAACAATATTGATTGGAAAATTCAATTACAGAAACGGTGTAGAACAAATCTCTACATATAGAACCAAAAGGATTTTTTTCTGAATAACTCTATTCAAAGCAGAGCATAAAGAATGACTTACCATGTTCTGATACATCAGTAAGTGGGGTATACATTCCGTAAACTCCCACACTGTAGAGTATCTTTCTTTTCTGTATAAGAAGTCAAAAGCAGATTTCAATGTTGGAAAAAACACAAAAGTCCAACGCTTAGTGCCTGATTTATTTCCCATAATAAATACGCCCTAATCAAGCAAGAAAATTATTCTTTTTTTTTAATTTCCAAATTTTATTTTCAAGTTTTTTTTAGAAGCATTTCATTACAGCTTTAACATATTCAGTAACACATTCTAGAGCAAGGATACATCTCTTTCAAAGGTGGCTGTAAATTTTTATGTTTACAGATGATATAAGATTATATAAGCATAATAATTCATCTGTAAACCTAAAAATGTACAGCCAATTTTGAAAGAAAATTATTCTTTTTTTTTAATTTCCAAATTTTATTTTCAAGTTTTTTTTAGAAGCATTTCATTACAACAGCATTAACCTATTCAATAACATTTTTCTGAGCTAGGGTACATCTCTTTCAAAATTGGCTGTACATTTTTAGGTTTACAGATGATATAAGATTATATAAGCATAATAATTCATCTGTAAACCTAAAAATGTACAGCCAATTTTGAAAGAAAATTATTCTTAATATGTTACTCTTTTAAAAGGCAAGGCGCTAATTGTTTATTTTCCCCCAGGAAAGGTCTGTGAAAATTTAATATGCTGCTGGCAAGATTGCATATGGGTAAAAACACTCACAGCACAGACATGAGGACCTGAACTCTACCGCTAGAACCTAAGGAGGAAGGAGAGAAGCAACTCCTGAAAGATGCCCTGTGGTCTCCATATGAACTTTGTGTGGAACATGCGTGTACATGCACAAATATGCAAGCATACATCATACACACTATAAACATAAATAAAATTATTTTTTAAATGTATTTATTGAAAATTTGTAGATATCATACATCTAAATCATATTTATCCCCCCTCTTGCCTATCTGCACCCATCCCATAGGCCACCCACAGAACTTCACACATTTGATCATACATGTTAAGAACATGTCGAGTCAAGTTTGTGTACCCATATGTCCCTGGTATAAGTTCATCCACTTGGGCCTGTTCAGCCTGTCTAACATCACTCCCTTAAAGAAGATCAGCTCTCTCTCACCCAGCAGTTATCAACCCAACTATTATCAGCTGTTAATAGTACATCACCAAATTTGTGGCTTCCTGCCCATTTCCCCTGTTTTATACATGGATCTTCTGCATGTTGTCACCATTGCTGTAAGTTCATATGAGCAAGGTCCCAGGAGCCTGGAAGACTCTGCTTCATTATGGCCATGCACCTCCTCCCCTGGCTTTTACAATCTTTCTGCCCCCTTTTCTGCAAGAGTCCTGGAGCCCTGGGTGGGTAACGCTTACTATTGGAATCCTGCCCAGTGACCCATGCTCTGCAGCCTTTCATTTTCTACATCATGGCCAGTTGTGGCCTTCTGTGTGCATTGCACTCCATTGCATGAGGAAATTTCATGAACGAGAGTTGAGGACTACATTAATCATCTATCTACCTCGTGTTCCACCACGTTCTGTGAGCCTTAGGTGTAGAGGTTCCATTGTAAATGTGTCACTTAGGGTTGGGGATCTCACAGACACTTATTTTCTGTGTGTAACCAGTTATGGAACTCTGTAATAGTCTCTGTCTGTTGCAAAAGAAACTTCTTGGTGAGTTGTGGCTAGTACACTTGTCTGTAAAAATAAAGATATGTATTTAGCATACAGTAAGAAATTAGTTGATATGGGAATGGGACAGACTTAGGGTTTTCTCTAAGGTCTATGACCTCTACAACCATGTGTATCTGGCTATGTTTACAGTGCCACATATGAGTTTACTCCCACTGAGTGGGCTTTAAGTCCAATTAGGTAGCTATTGATTTCCCTCAAGATAAAAGTTCCACAACTACACCGATACAGTTGGTTCTGCCAGTTGTTGTGGTTACAAGGCTTAAAGCTGGGGTGGGAACATTGGTTAATTTTTCTCCTTTAGCAGCTTGCATAATGTACTCCATAATTATGAGAGCTAGATTTCATGGAAGAGACTTCTGGCTCAGTTTCAGTTCCATTGCTCCAATTCCAATTCCTGTGTCTGAAGTATTTCCTGTCTTCAGCATTAAGGACTTACTTTCAAGTTCTGGGCGATAACTAATAGCCGTGTAATTTTGGGAGTCTCTTGGACTACCCTAGCCAACAACTTGAAGGGAGGTTTCTCCTGTCTGGCACTGTGCTTATTGTTATATAGCCTTCAGCTGTGCACATGAACTTAGGTACAGATAGATATTGTATATGTATTTTTCAGTATGCTTTTCAACTAATACATTTCCCTTTTGTTTTTCACACCAGCTAAGCATTATTTATCTCTCCTCTCTCTCTCTCACTGTGTATAATCCTCTCTCCCTAGTTAAAGTACCCCTATTTTCCCCATTTCTCCTATTATAATACATATCTTCCCTTATACTCCCTCTCTTGAGCTCCTTCATCCCCTTTATCCTCATGGTTACTTGTATAACCTTCCCTATTCCCCTCTCAATCAAATACCACAATTTTACCCATTTTACCCTTGGTAACACCTGTCTCCTACTCTCTCTCTCTCTCTCTCTCTCTCTCTCTTTCATTCTTTCCCATTACATCCATGTATTTTTCCATTTTCCTTACTCCTGTGGTTACATCAGGACATATAACCACATATAATAAGTTGGTGCTAAGATCCAGAAATGAGGGAGAACATACATGGTTTGTTTTTCTGAGTCTGTGTTACTTCATGTAGTATAACAGTTTTTAGTTCCATCCATTTACCTGGAAATTTTATGATTTCTTCTCTCTTTATCTCAGAGTAGAACTCCAGTGTATAAATATACCACATTTTCATTATCCATTCCTCAGGTGAGGGGCACTTATGTTGCTTCCATTTCCTAGCTTTTGTGAAAAGAGCAGCCACAAACAAACACAGATATACAAGTATCTCTGTGGTATGATGAGACCTTTAGGTATATACCAAAGAGTGGTATAACCAGATCAGATGGTAGATTCAAAGAGTTCTCCACACTGGTTTTCATAGTGGTTGCACAAGTTTGAAATCCCACAAGCAGAGAATGGGCACTCCCCTCTCCCCACTTCCTCACCAGCATTTTTTCTCTTGAATTACAGTACCCTAATTACTAAGGATGTTTAACAATTTTAAGGTGTTTCTTAGCCATTTTATATCTTCTTTTGAGAATGCTCTGTTCAGATCCTTAGCCTATCTTTTAATTGGGCCATTTACTTTATTGATTCTTTTTATTTTTAGTTCTTCATATATTTTGGAAATTAATTCTCTCTCAGAAGTGGAGTTGGTGAAGATTTACTCCCACTCTGTGGGTTCCTCTACAATTTCTCTCTCTCCCCCTCCCTCCCTCTCTCTAGATACTTTTATTTTAGTTTAATGAGATCCCAGTTGTTGGAGAAAGAAGGAACCCGAGAGAGAAGAACTCTAGGATACTGGTGTTGCTAAAGGAGAAATGGATAAAATGGAGGTATTTAAATGGGAGAGGGAGGAAGTATCAGGCTGTTTTTAAAACTATAGCTCTGTAATTTAGTTTGAGATCTGATATGGTAATTCCGCCAGCATTGCTCTTTGTGCTCAGGATTGTTTTGGCTATTCATATTTCACAAGAATTTTAATTTTTTTCTAATTCTTTGAAGAATTTCATTGGGATTTTTTATTGGCACTGCATTGAAGCTATAGATTGCTTTTGGTAGGATGGTCATTTTCACAATATTAATTATACCAATCCATAAGCATGGTGGATCTTTCCATCTCCTGGTGTCTTCCTCAATCTCTTTCTTCAAAAATTTAAAATTTTCATTGTAGAAGTCTTTAATATCTTTGGTCCGTTTTATTCCTGGATATTTTATTTTTTGATATTACTGTGAATGTGAGAGTTCCCATGAATTCTTTCTCTAATTGATTGTTATTGGTATATAGAAAGGCCACTGATTTTTGTAAATTGATTGTGTAACCTGCCACATTAGTGAAAGTGTTGATAATTTCTAGTTTTCTGGTGGAACTTTTGGGATCACTTATGTATGATACCATATCACCTACAAATAGGGTTAATTTGCCCTCTTCATTTCCAATTACTACTCCTTTAATGTCCTTCTCTTCCTTATTGCTCTAGTAAGACTTTTAGTCACTGCGGTCACCACCAGCGGTGGCCGTTCCTCCATTCACATGAGTGCCACTCCTTCATTCTCATGGGTGTGGAGCCTGCTCCTCCACTCGCCCTGGGCTGAGGCTGCTCTTCTGCCTGCCCTGGTGCTGAGGCAGCTCTTCTGCTCACCTG